TATCCTTTCGGATCATGTTTTTCTCCAGATATGTGCCTGTTCCATATGAATTGTGGCTTTATAGCATCTGTCATTTCTTCAGGCACAAGTTTTCTTGAAAGCATTTATGTATTGAGAAAAAATGTTTCAGTAACACCTTGGCTCATCTCATTCATTTTTTTCTAAAGGAGTCATGTACCATTTCTAGTTTATATTCTCTTCTTGGCCCACCTAAGTGTGATACCCCTTTCCTAAAAGATAACAGATGACCCAATTCCTTTGTCTGATAAATGTTAATTTTCTTGGTGAAACTTTTGTATCCTTTATTCTTCAAGTATCATATATTTTTTTCTTTTGTATTTCTTTTAGGACTTTATCTTAATATCCTATTCTGCCTCTTTTCCCTGTCCTTATCCCTGTCATGATACCCTAAAATTCTGACTTAATTCTGTTTCAGTTTCTACTAAATTTCTGGTCTATATCTTGCCTCCCAGCATCAGGTTGTCATCACCAATTCAATGGACATGAACTTGGGCAAACTCTAGGAGAGCCTGAGAAACAGGGAGGCCTGGCATGCTGCAGTCCATGTGGTTACAGAGTTGGACATGACTTGGCGACTGAACAACAATTTTGCTTCCTTGATGTTAACAGCATCCTGACTCATATTATCTCTGTACCATTTGGTCCCATAGTACTGAACTGTGCTATAGTTCTTATTTAAATGTCAATGGGTCAAGATAAAAGCCGTTGCTCCTCTGTTCCCAGCCCCATTCCTTTCCTTACACTGCTGGCAACAACGCAACACACTGCTGGAAACCTCAGAACTCTTTCTGCCCTTGCCCAAATGGCGCATGCTAATTTCCCTTGGGATACTAACTCTCTTGAAATATCTGGTACTACTGCTCTAGTTAAGGTTCCTCAGAAGCTCTTAACCAGCTTAAAGGTAGCTTCTTATACTACCAAAGATACTTACTTACTTCTTAAAGTGTGCTATTTTAAAATTATGTATTTTTAATGTAATTATATATGTCTGGTTTTTCTAACCAGATAGTTAAATTCTTTCAGATTGATACAATTTCCTCCATTGTGTCTGCAGCTTTTTACAACACTGAATTGGCGTTTAGTATCTTCTGCTGCACTTTATGAATTGTTTTACCTGACTACTCTAGTCTCTGTTTGTTTGTTTTTTACTTTTTAAAATATTTATTTGTTTGTTTGGCTGTGCTGGGTCTTAGTTGCGGTGTTTGGGTCTTTAGTTGTGACAGGTGGGATCTAGTTCCCTGACCAGAGAATGAACTTGGGCTCCCTGCATTGGGAGTGCACAGCCTTAACCACTGAACCACCAGGGAAGTCCCTCAGATTTTAAATTGATTCTCTCCTTGCTGCCAGAGTTGTCTGTTTAAAATCAGGCTAATTTTGGACCCAAATATCTTTGACACTCTTTATCTGCAGAGTTAATCTCTAAACCACATCATGGAAGTCCAGGTCCTAAACAGCCTGACCTCATCTTTTTTTTTGCTTAAGTTCTGTCATTGTCATGAGTGGCTATCTTTGTTCTTCGGCTCTGCACTCCCTGCATGCTGTTTCTTTGCCAAGTTTTTTTCTTTAGAATTAATTCCTTGTATATGCATTTATTAATTACCTACTATGTGCTGTTACTATACTAGGTTGTGGTCAGAACATTAAGATGGGTATAACTTGCATGGCTCCCTTTTGTGCGCTTCCCTTATATTCTCCATTTGTGAAAAATCCCATCCTTCGAAATATAAGTGAGATACTTCCTTGTCCATGAAGTCTCCTCAGATCATTCCAGTAAAGATTAATCACCCTTTGCCTCCAAAGCATTTTGAATATCAGGTTTACAAAATTTCTCATAACTCTCTCATTTGTTATCTGTACACCTATAGATTATGTCTTAATCACCATTGTATGCCCTCTTTTTCTCTTCCCAGTGACCTTAAAGTTAATTGATGCTCATTAAATGGAAAGTTGGTTCAAAGCCAAGGTAGAAACTTAGAAGGAATATTCAGGGAAAATCAGGAGAGTCGCAGTACCAAACCTAAGGAATGTTTGTAAGAAGAAGGGGATAATAATTGATATGCTACACTCCAGAACAACAGGTCATTGGTTATGCTAACAAGTTCAGTTCAGTCGCTCAGCAGTGTCCTACTCTTTGCGACCCCATGGACTGCAGCACACCAGGCTTCCCTGTCTATCACCAACTCCTGGAGCTTACTCAGACTCATGTCCATCGCATCAGTGATGCCGTCCAACCATCTCATCCTCTGTCGTCCCCTTCTCCCGCCTTCAATCTTTCCTATCATCAGGGTCTTTTCCAATGAGTCAATTCTTCGCATCAGGTGGCCAAAGTATTAGCGTTTCAGCTTCAGCATCAGTCCTTCCAATGAATATTCAGGACTGATTTCCTTTAGGATTGACTGGTTGGATCTCCTTGCAGTGCAGGGGACTCTCAAGTGTCTTCTCCAACACCACAGTTCAAAAGCATCACTTCTTCGGCACTCAGCTTTCTTTATGGTCCAACTCTCACATCCATACATGACTACTGGAAAAGAGTAAGGTACATAAAGTAGCAAGGATGGACATCCGAGGACAGCAGACTGAGAAATAAATAGGTTTCTTCTCCTTAAGTAGTTTTTTTTTTTTTTTTTAAGCTGATATTTTTACAGAAATTGGCTGGGAAACAAATTGAAGATTTATGATCTAAATAAAGATCTAGAAGCCTGCATATATTATGTTGATTTAGGGAGGATCTATATATTTTGTATAGAAGATGAGTGGGTACTAGGCTTGACATTATATGAAGAAAGTTTAGAAATCTAACCACTATTTTAATCTCATTAGAACACTACCATAAATCACCATAGAGATCACAGGGGTTTCTTCATCAAAATTAGTCATATCTTGTATTAAAGGATGATAGAAATTACTTTGCCCTAGAAGGATTTCAGATGATCCATGCTTCTTTCTACTTCCTGTCTTTGTTTGAATAGTAGTATATTAATAGCATGAAGTGAAAAGTGCAAGTGTTAGTGGCTCAGTCATGTGTGACTCTTTGTGACCCCCATGGACTGTAGCCTGCCAGGCTCCTCTTGCCATGGAATTCTCCAGGCCAGAGTACTGGAGTGGGTAGCCATTCCCTTCTCCAGGGGATCTTCCTGACCCAGGGATCAAATCCAGGTCTTCCACATTGCAGGCAGATTCATTATCATCTGAGCCACCAGGGAAACCCTGTTAATACCATGTATTTGCCTATATAAGATGAATCAATTTTGAAGCATATCCCTTATAAACATACCAATTATACATTGGTATGATTTTGGGCATAGTATATTTGGTTATTTATAAGACACTGAATAATTTCTTCAGTTGGAAGGCCTTTTATATTTGATGATGTGTTATAGTTTTAATTCACATCATTTTTTTTCTTTCTTGGTCTTAACATAAAATGTTAGTGAAGTTACAATCAGCAGTATCTTAGACTTGATGAAATATGACAGTATAGTAGAGAACATTAAAGTTTAGAGACTGTCTGCCAAATATTTTAGTTTTACTGTAATTAACATTGAACGAGTCTTTTTTGGCAATAGTTTCATGATGTTAAGTCCCTCTCTTTATTGGGAGAATGGGTTATGCATTAATTTTTATCTTAGTGATAGACTCTTAAGTGGAGTTGGAAGTGGGAAAGGGGAAAGTGAAAAGAAAGTGAAGTCGCTCAGTCGTGTCCAACTCTTTGCGACACCATGGACTGTAGCCTACCAGGATCCTCTGTCCATGGGATTTTCCAGGCAAGAGTACTGGAGTGGGTTGCCATTTTCTTCTCCGTGAAAAGGGAAGACGGAATCTATAAGGAACCTACTTTCTGTTACCTAGATTATGACTTGGTGCGTGAGAAAAAAATCTTGGTTAACCATAATTCTTATAAATTTGTAGAAGCAGTTTGTAGAAGTAATCCCTGTGAAGTTATAGTTCATTTCTGATCTTGCAATCAAGGATACACTGACTGGTTCATCACTTTTAATCAAAGACATGTATTAAGTACCTACTGTGATACTGGCAATGTACTCAGCACTGCAAACACTCTTTGGTTGTTCATGATGGATTTCTTAATACAGTGAAACAGTACAACAAAAAGGTCAGTAATCATTCATAGTGCATAGAACCGGCTCCTTTCTCATATACATGGTTGAACTGAGAGATGAAATAGGCAGTTTTTTAAACAAACAGCTTGTCTAAATGGAGAGCTGGATGCTTGACCACAATGAGCACTCAGTAAATACTTGTTGACTGATGAGTGGAAGTGTCCTTTTAGGTGATTGACAGGAAATGGATGGGCTTATCGTTTTAAGTGATTACATGTGAAAAGATTGGTGTCATAGGTAATTATTGTTAAAATAGGAAGAATATACATTGAGAATTATTAAGGGAATAATGGGAGCTTCTCAGTACCTTTTGGGCATTACTAAAATAAATTGAAAATGTAAAAGCCTCCCAATTTCTCATTGTGGAAAAGATATGATGAATCAAGAGTTGTAGAATTTAACAAGTTCATATAAATAAGGTTCCACAAACCTGCAGTCCTTTCTTTGAAATCAAGTGTGAAGCAGATAATTAAGTAGAAATGTTGCATCTCTGCTTATGTTCATTTATTTTAATAAAGTCTCAGTACCTAATCCTTGAAAGAGTTGAAGCAACAGTATATGGAGGAGATGTAATCTGATGATGCATACTTTTTCCTCTGGTAACTGAAGGTTAAATGGGTAGCAAACAGAATGCCTTAAACAAGATTGGTATATTGATTAAAGTGCTGATTTAACAGCTCTCAGTCTCCCCTTGGAAACCTGGAAAAGATAAGCCAGCTGCTGTCTAAGAGTGCTCAGTGTCCACTGAGAGTACACTATCTATCATCACAATATGGTGATGAGAGGTGTTTTATGTTTGTGTTAATTTCCCCCACTAAATCAGTAATTATTACAGTCCTGTCCCTGCTGTTTACCCTGCAGCTGTTTTTCCATTTGTCGAGAGAGCGGGTGTTCTCCGAGGACCGCACACGTTTCTATGGTGCAGAAATTGTCTCTGCCTTGGACTATCTACATTCCGGAAAGATTGTGTACCGTGATCTCAAGGTAAAAAAGAAAAGTAATCAGAGTTTGTTTCTGCAGAGACTATAGGGACAAACACAAAGTAATTACAAAGTTACACAGTTTGAAGAAAAGAAGATCTAGTTGGGGAAAATACAGCAGCAGCGCTTTAAGAATGTGGCTCACTGTGTCTGGCGGGGAGTTCCATCCACTGGTAAAGGTGTAGTTCTTTCTATGTCCAAGTTTTTGACATGCAAAATAAGTTCTGTTCGACTGCTCTGATCAAAACGATCTACCAGTAATAGTTCCACTCTTCTGTTAGTGTAATGAATAATGTTAAACATTTGATTCAATGTCTAGCCTCTTGGCAAGTGACATTTTAAAATCAATTTCATTATTATATTCTAGCATCCTGTGATGTATTATGAAGAAACTTTTATAGTAGATAAGATTATTTAGGGGAAGGTTTTGGTTTTAAAATCAAAGTCAAATATTTGATTTTGACTTTGAATATTTAGTGGGCTTAAAGAGCTGAAGCACTTTAATATAGCCTTTTATCAATTTATTAGTTTCCATTTTTAAAAAACACTGCATTTGTTTTATCAGTAATAATGACTGTATGTCTCTTAAGTTTCTTTCTGACAAGACCCTCGGAATAGCTCCGGAACTGGCAAACTTTCTGTGAAGCCCAGATAGTAAATATTCTAGGCATTGCTGCTCTTACTGTATCTTTTGCAACTCCTCAGTGCTACTGTTGTAGGATGAAAGCAGCCAAGGACAGTATGTAAATGAGCATGTCTGGCTGTGTTCCAGTAAAACTTTAATTACAAAAACAGGCAGTAGACAAGATTTCGCCCCCAGGCCATATTTTGCTGACCCTTGGAGTAGCTCATAAAAGGCAGTAGTAATTCTCACGACACTGTTTTCATTTAGATTGGCCACGTTAAGGAAATTTGTACCCTGGCACAACTCTGAACAGGTTTGTGACCATCTTACTTTCTTAAAAAGTAAATCATATGATAATCTTGACCTATTAAAGTCTGACACAGAATTGCTTTGTTTATCAAGTATGAGTTCATTTAAAGTATAATTCTGCTTGTAGAAATAGAAGTTATTTTAGTCTTTTATGAAATGCTGTTTGTGGGAAATGAGGTATGCATGTTAGTTGCTCAGTCATGTCCAACTCTGTGTGACTTCGTGGACTGTAGTCTGCAGGCTCCTCTGTCCATGGAATTCTCCAGGCAAGAATACTGGAGTGTGTAGTCATTCCCTTCTCCAGGGGATCTTCGCAACCCAGAGATTGAACCCTGATCTCTCACGTTGCAGGCAGATTCTTTTACCATCTGAACCACCAGGGAATGAGGTATATATCTACATATTACAGCACCTGAGAGAAGTCACAGTTACCCCTCACTCCCATTGACTTGCTTTCAAACACCTGTGATTCTTAAATTATCTAATTACTTAACCAGTTGTCTAAGTTATTTCAAGATGTTGCTATCGTGTACCTTATGAATGATCCCTAAGAAGTAACTATCTCAAAAAATATTACTTTACATGATGACAGTGAAATATAGTGTGCATGTCTATATAGCATCATTACAGTTTTTATATTATTTTCTCATTTTATTTCTTAACATGTTATTTATGAAACAAGCTATGAAATTCTATTTTTAGAAAACATTTTTATACTATATCTATATCAGAGATGATCAACTAAGTGCCAGAATAGATCAGAGATGGATATAAATCAACAGTATGATTGTCTTAGCCTGCAGCTTTTATAGCCAGGAGTAGCCGAGTTCAGCATCCCTGTATCTGATGTCTGCATGGCCAAATAATCCTATACTGTTTAAATGTCTTAAATCTGAATTTTTAAAACAGAATTTAATTATATGGTATGAAAACCTTACGTTATGTGTCATTTTCGTGTTTACTTAGGAGTAGTTAGCTCTCTTCTGCTTGGTCCCCACCCCCCCCTTTATATTTTCCGCATCCTCTTCGTAAGGATAAGGGGAGGACTCCCTGGGTCTAAGAAAAGGAGAGCAGTTTTGAAGTACTTAGTAACATATCCAAAATGCTTAAAGCTCAAATAGTTAGTCTAAAGAAACAAAGAAAAGAATGCTCACTTGATTGATAGCATTGAAAAGGAATGATATAATTGGGGTGATTTTGGTCAGTATCTCCACTGATCATTTCTCATTAATCAACTTATCAGTACGTTGACACCCATTTAATGAGTTTTGTTGCTCTGTCCTTTCTGGTGATGAAATTAGACTAAATTTATTAGCCTGCAATGTGAATACCAGTCATGTAGTTAGTATATAAATAGACCATCAACTACTAGACAATTAAGTGACCTCTCCTCTCTAAATTTATTTCTGTTTTAATATAGCTTTAACTTTAAGGTCTAAGTAAATGTGTAGCATTGGACAGGATCCATGGAATTTACACAAAGAAGAATGGATATTATAAGTCAGACGTTCAAAATTTGTACAAGTGTTATTCATATCCATATTGTTTCATGATAGAATGAGATCTTTAGGTACAGTTGTAGAAATTCAGAGCTGACCCATAATTTACAGCTGAGGTCACTGAAGACTTGAAACCTAGTAAGTGATTTTCTCGAAATAATGGACTAAATTGGTAACATAGTCAAGATTGTTGGATTCCATGAATCCTAGCTCCAGGTAGGATGTTCTTTTTATTACACCAATCGGCCTGTCTAGAAATGAAATGAACTTTAGGTGGGGGGATGCATTGGATTAACTCTAGGGGATCTTTGTAAATCTAAAATTTGAATAAAGCTACCAAAAATAAGGAATGTTTTAACTATATTCAAGGCACATCCTCTAACTCCCACTTCTAACTACTCTGGATTTCCTCTTTTATAAAAATGTTCAGCCATTGCTGCTATGAATCCCTTCCATTTCTAACATTCACATGTACTATTGGGCTATATTCCTCAAGTGTAGGAAATTCTTAAATGTAGTAACTCTGAAACCCCAGTCTAGGTGGGATCTCTGCTATTGTATATTGTGAATTCTTTTTCCAGTTTAGGAAGGTTCAAAGATTTCCTTTTGGCATTTTAATGCACTGTCCTAATCCCATGGTCATTAAGTTCATACGGGTCACAACATTTGGCACTTTGATGCCCATAAACCTAAATATGGAGGGTGCAGGGGAGGAATTTCTTGCTGTATTCTTGGGCCTGAGGCAGTCTTGGTACTGATGTAACTGTGCTAAAATGGGATTGTAAGAGTGAGTGCTGGGATTTGTTTGTGTTGCTACAATAGTTGTCAGAGCCCTTAGAAATTGCTATTATCATTCCTTTGCTTAATCACAAAATGTCAGCATATAATTAAAATGAGACCTAAAAGATATATATATATATGTGTGTGTGTGTGTATTTTACATAGCTAGATATTAGAATATATGATATATGAATTGTATATTAGAAAGCTTTTAAAAACTTAGAAGTTAAAAATCTGTAAACTTTCTAATAGCAAGAGTTTAATTTTACTCTAGGCACCAGCAAGAGCAGAAAGGAGCGTAGTATTTTCTTGCTGTCATTTCTTGTTAACGAAGCACAGGGGAAAAAAGATTTCAAAACCTGCCAAATCAAGATCCTCTGTCAAATAATTTTTGTCCAGTTCAACTTGATAAAAAATGTTGCCTTTTTTAAATGGAAACTCTGGGACATATATGTCTAGTATATTTGTTTTCTCAAAGTATGAACTATTAGATAACAAACAACCCTCTGATACAAATAGTAAGCATTACCCAGATTTTGAATGTATACTCTTTTCTTTCACACTTCCTATTTAACTTCATACATTGCTTTTGCCAGTGGATGTATCCATTAAGTATCATCAATCCCGCCCCGACCTCAATCCTGGATGCTAACTAAGACTGATAGTGGAGAGAAAACAGATGCATTTAATGTTTTATAATAGAGAGTACCTGAATAGGCAGTTATGGTGTACATTTTTCCTTTTATGGTTTGAAAAAAAAGGAAGAAGGAAAGCATTCGATTTAGGAGAGAGAACCAAAGAAAGACCATTTGTAAACATTTTTATTCCTCCTTTACACAGTGGAAAGATTCCTAAAAATAATTTGACTGAATCTTCTTATGTTAATGTCACGCGCACTAAGGAAGTGATTTCCAGGTGTTTTTTTATATCTTTTAAGTCATTGGTCTGCTTTTGAAAGATTTCCAGGTAATTCTGTGTATCCTTCACCTTTGTGAATCGCAGCACTAATGGTCCTCATATTTAATGAAATCTTTGTTATGCATCTGCATAAACTCATTTATGTTTTTAACCAGACAGGATATTTAATTACCCCCGATTTACCTCTTGATAAGATTAGATTTGGGGATATCATTTTTTTAAGGTGATGCATTTCTGACTGTTTTTTCATACTGATAGACAAGTTGTTTTTGTCTTTCATGCTCAACCAAATGACATTTCAGGATAGTGAGAGAAGAATAGTAATTGATGGAAGAAAGTGGGCACCATTATAAAATAACTGGCTCAAAAATTGTAAAATTTTTTTTTGTTTTTATTCAAAAGAAATTGTTGCATGTTAAAAACTGTTTTAAATGAGGTTACTGAGCTGATCAAAATTTTTTATAGGGTTCCATTTCTGAATTTTGCTCTTTCCCTTAACATACGGTGTTGTCTAGAAGAACACATACCATGTTGATAAATTATAAATCAGCCATTAAACCCTCCATGTTTAGTAAATGTTCAATACATTTGTTGATTAAGTTCTCCATTCAGTATCATTTAATTCTCAGAACAGTCACATTGGATTGTTACTGTTATTTACCTGTATGTTACAAATCAAGTTGAGATGCATAGATATCAATAGCATACCCAAGGTTACACAGCGGGTGAGGGGTAGAACTTGAATTTACATTTAAGCTCTGACTCGATTCCATAATCTCACCCACATTGCCCTCAACTGCCTCCTCCACAGTATGCTACCTTGTCCCCTTTATCATGGCCTCTACCCCATCTCTCACAGTCCTCCTGTAAGCTGACCTTATTTCTCCTGTATCATTATAACAAAGCTGATTAATAAAACAAAGGAATGATTAGCTGTCGTGGTTAGCCTGGAACTTCCCCAGCTATAGAACTTTTATTAAAGATCCTTCATCCTGGGAAACCTCCTCAGTTGTAGGCAAACTGAGAATTCTTGGTCATTTTCATCCTATTCCTGTTCTTCACTCAAATCCTACCCCTGAATCTCATTTCATTCCTCATCCCTCAAGCCTTGGTATCTTGGAGATGAGATTAGATAATTAGGTATGGATCAAGATTTTTTAAAATGTATGTTCTTTTTATTAAAAAACAGTATATATTCTGATACTCTATGCTTTGCAAGATAGTCTTGTCAAAATGTGGACAGTTAGCACATTAGTGCATGCAGAGTTTTATTTTGCAGTGCATATAAAGTGAATTGTTGTGATATACATTAAACTACATATTTTATTTAATATTATTATGTATTATTTGAAGTCTCCATAAGAATTCTTATGTACTATAAAAGATCTTTATAGCATTTTAAGGTTTTGTTTTTATATTGTAATGTATTTCTATGTTAGAACAATAAGCATATTTTTTAAAATTAGGAACAGAGCGTATATTTAACACAGCAGACATTCCATTATATACTTGTCTTTCTCATTATGGCAAGATAGAAGTAGGAGGAAGAAGAGAGTGTTGTTTGCAAGAGAAAGGGAAAAGAGAGAAAACCAAAAGCATGAAGAAGAAAAGGAAAGAGGAGTAGACAAATTCTTTTTTTACATTTCTATTCAGTTGTACTATTTAGGACATATTGCCATTTGTGCACATTGGGTTTGATTTTTGGGTTCCAGTTAGTAGAGAATCAGTCTACCTAAATTTAGATAAAATAAGAGAATATTCATTTTTAAAAGGTTTAACAATGTATTTAGGGTTCAGCTCTCTGTAGACAAGTCAAAACAGACTCACTTCTCTAAAGTCTATGCAGTGTATGAAACATGTATTGAGCATTGAGTTAAGTTGGGCAGCACATTTAAGTACTTTACTGAGCATAGCTTGCTTAACTGTATTTAGTTTCTGGTTTATAAGACACTGGATAATATATAACAGTATAATATCATCACATTTTATAAGATTGGTATCTATTTATGTTCTTATATGGAGTTATGTTTTGAATTTGATATTGACTTCAGAGTTTGAGTAGGCACTTTCATATATTATCATGTTAAGGAGTTAGAATAATTACCTACTCCTCTAATAAGTTAATTATCATTCATCCTGCTAATATAATTTTTCCACATGTGTTTCTTTGTGAATGCATTTCTTATGTATTCCCTTAGGTATATGTACATGACTGAGCAGGGTTAGGGGCCCCATTGATATACATGACTATAAAATGACAACTCAGAACTCATGTGTATCTCTGTATGGTGATAATCATAACTTTAGGTTCAGATTGAAAGAGTAAGATCAGTTATTGTTACTGTTTTTAATTGCATTAGCTTTGCACAAGCTCTTTTTCCCCCTCGCATTCCTTAATTTTTCACTTGAGGCTATTTGGTTATCTCTTTTAAGATTGTTGTTTTTGTATGAATGGGTTTAAAGAGGTTGCAACTTTAAAAGGATTGGTATTTCTTTGTTACAAATAACTGCAAGAGAAGATATTGCCTTACCTTACAAAATAAGATTTAGGTTTGATTTACAGCCACCACCAAAGAAACATTTCTGTAAATAAATATTTTATAATAGAAATAGACTCCCAAGAGAAATTGTTGAAAACCATCTCTACATATCTAGAAGATACTTGTCTCTTTGAAATTTAGATCAAACTTTATTTTAAAAAGGAAAAAAGAAGATTGATGTTTGCTTTCAAAACTTAATTTAGACTTTAGTTCTTAGGACTTATACACAATAATGGCTCTTACTCCCACTGGTTTAAAAATCAGTTTATTATTGTAAAGTATTTGATAAAATATTTCTTTTTACACATGAATTAGGCAGCTATAGGGTTTGTAAGTATCAAAAGTTCTTTGACTAATTATGTCCTCTTTCCAGAATATCTTACTCAGCATTCAGTTATTTTTCAAAACAGTATTTTCCTATTTTTGAAGACTATTGTCTTACTATGCAGTTGGAGAATTTGATGCTGGATAAAGATGGCCACATAAAAATCACAGATTTTGGACTTTGCAAAGAAGGGATCACTGATGCAGCCACCATGAAGACTTTCTGTGGTACACCAGAGTATCTGGCACCAGAGGTAGGCTATGTTTCCACTTACAGAAAAATAAAAATAACACTGATGTTTTGCAAAGTAAACCATTTACGCTTTTAAAAAACTACAATGTCTACTACTTTGACTTGGATTTCAACATGAATCAAATCTATTTTACTCCCACTTGTTTAACATGGTATTCTAGGGCAAAAATATACATAAATCAGCACAAAAATACTGGTAACTGCAATCAAATTAAGTCAGTTTTTACTTGTTGGCCATATGTGGTTTTTTTTTCTTTTTTTATGCTTATTTTTATTCACTTATTAAAATTAAATATTTCAGTGACTTCAGCAAGAATGTTAGAAGTTTTATAAATCATTTTGGATTTTCCTTAGAAACAAAGAAACAATGATAATTTGTATTTGTAATTTTGTGGGTTTTCATACTTAATTATTAGAAAGGATTTCACTCGAAAAGTTAATGAAATGACAGTGGCTACATTTTGGAAATCATGCTAAACCAAAACAAGCTTCAACCAGTGCCCTTCCGATGCTGAGAATTCCATAGTGATGACTGATTTGTTTGTTCAACAAATACACATTATTCATATACTATATATTGGATAAATTTCTGTGTGTGTGGTTATAGAAACAAGACACAAAGGACTCTGCTCTCAGGGAACTCACTTTTGATGAAGGGTGACAGAATAAAAATAAATATATAGCATAATGTCGTGCAATAAATATGTGTCGTGAAGGGAAAGAAGCTAGATAAAAGGAGGTTGTGGTGGCTGTGTTAGGTGGCGTTCTCATTACTATTACTGCAAAACAGACCACTGCAAAACCTAACCATTTCATGTGATCGAAGGTTCTGAGTCAGGATAGCAGGAATGACTGCTCTATGATACATGGGGCACAGCGGTGGGTGACTCTGTGGCTGGAGGCCGGAATCTGGAAACTTCCCGCTTTAGGTGTCTGACAGTTGATGCTGACTGTCACCTGGTGCCTTACAGGGCTCTCAAAAGCCTCAGCTTCCCCATATGGCCTGGCTTCCTCATAACCTTGTGGCTTCAGAGTAGCCTAGACTGTTTTGGCTTTGGGTTCTAAAATGTCCTAGGGAATAGTTTAGAAACTGCTTCAATTTGTTTTTTTTTAACGTAGTAAGCCATGAAGAAATGTTTGATTAATTTTTTAAAAATTTCTCTTCATAGTATATTTTTTAAACTTTATTATCATATACCATAAAATTTAGCCTTCTGAAGTGCATAGTAGTGGTTTGTAGTTGTGCAATGCAACCATCACCACTCTCTAATTCCAGAATATTTTCATCACTCCAACAAAGAAACTCCATACATATTAGCTCCTGCCTAACCTCCCCTCCTGCTAGACAACTACCAGTCTACTTTGTCACTACAGGTGTGTCTGTTCTAAGCGTTTCATACAAATGGAATCAGACAGTACATGGCCTCTTGTGTCACTATAGGTGTGTCTATTCTAAGCATTTCATACAAATGGAATCATACGATACATGGCCTCTTGTGTCTGGCCTCTTTTACTTAGTTGATTTTCAAGGTTCATCCGTGCTTTAGCATGTTTTTGGTACTTCATTCCTTTTTATGGCCAAAATAATATTATGTTGTATGCATATAATACATTTTGTCTATCCATTCAGCAGCTGATGGACATTTGGATTGCTTTTAGGTTTTGGTCAATGATGCTGCTATACACATTTCTCTGTGAATTCCCTTTTATGACTTCATTTCAGGAATTGCACATCATTTCTGCATATGCTGAAACATTCCTGAGCCTGCATGTATTTAAGAGGGTAGTGACATAGATCCCACCTCTCCATGGCAAAAACATGTGAGATGGGAGAAACTGTTGTAGCCCTCTTTGGAAAGTAAAATCTTCTACAGATAGGATGTTCAGGGAAAGTGATGTTTAACCAGGGACTTGAATGCTAAGAGGCAACTATTGTAAAAATACAGGGGACGACTTTTCCAAACACAGGAAGCAGCTAGTATAAAACCTGTGAGGCACAAATTCAGTTCTTCCCTCAAACTCCAACAAGGTTAGTGTGACTAGAGCAAAGGTGGGAGGCATTTATGTTTGATGGATGATGATAACTATTTATTGAACATGTATTATGTGCCACATGCTATATATGTACATTGCAAATTTGGAATAATCTTTTGAGATTGCAGACCTGTTGTTTTTAAAGGTAAGGGAACTGAGGATCAGAATTTTTTAATGTAGTCTGTACACAGGTAGGAGGTGGTAGAGACAGAAACAGGATTCTAATGAGATTCATCTTATAAAGCCTATTTTTACTTTTTTAATTGCATAACATGATAGCCAAAAAAAACAAATCACTGTTTCAAGGCCACTATAGATGTAAGTAATTGCCATTTTTAAAATAGATGCTTTGTAAATGCTCAACAGGAAAAGTAATCAAAAGAATTAGGAAATGGGAATATATTCAGAATGATACTAGCATTCCTTATATGTATAATAACTAATGCCAGTTTATTACTACAATAGCTCTTTCCAATTAGAGATTAAAATTGCATTTCAAGAATTTTAAGTTTTTGTAAATAAATGCTAGTAATTGAAATATTAGCAGTATTTTTTACAGTAAATTTCCAAATATTATTTTAACAAGGTCTGCCAAAAGTAACATTATTTTTTCTGTTATAAAATCTGGAGTTTAAAATTTTCCAATTTTGTAGCTGAATTTGGTATAATGTTTCTTGTTTATTCAAATACAAGGTCACATTTTCTACAACAAGATTGTTTTTGTGAATGTCATGAAAAACACAATCTTTGTTTCTCTGGAGTTCCAATTGCCCCTGCTATACATTTGCCATGGATGATGATATCCCATATTTAGAATAACAAAACTAGTTGTATCACAATTAGGGGAAATTATTTCTGTAGAAGATAAATACATCTCATTTCAGAAGCAGATAATCTCCTAAGAAACAAAGATATTGTTTTTATATGCAAATATCATCAACTGAAGAACAAAACCAGGAATTTAATCCAAGAAGAGTCTAGTTGTTTCTAAATAGAAAGTTTACAGTTCACAAGGAATTATCAATTTCTTCTTAAAGACAGGTAAACCCTTTCTGTATACCTTTTAAAAAAATATTGCAGAAGGGTTTAAAAGCAGTTTATATACCTGATGGCTGAGAGATGTTGGTTCATAATTAACATCTAGACCTTATTTTCACAGGGGAGAGTGATCGTTGTGATTACTATTTGAGGATGACAAAACTTGAGACAACTAAACTTCTCACGCAGTTTCAATTTTTATATTTTAAGCATTTGTGTCAAACTGCATTTTGTTAAATCAGGGTAACTGTTTTATATTCTTACTTTTAAAAAAAGAATTTAAGTTCTTTCTTCTGGTCTCTGGTGTAGGCCATTTCACTGAAGAACACTCATTCATTCATTAAAGAAATATTTATTGGGTATTTATTAGGTGTCATGCATTCTGTTAGGTGCTGGGATTACAAAGATCATAGAAATGTTTTTTGTCGTCTGGTAGCCTGCTGTATTTTCTAAGGTGATATGATATGGAGAATAATCATTACTGTCCAAGAAAAATAATTGCTTTACTAGAGTTCTGTACCACTGGAGAAGGAAATGGCAACCCACTCCAGTATTCTTGGCTGGGGAATCCCAGGGACGGAGGAGCCTGGTGGGCTGCTGTCTATGGGGTCGCACAGAGTTGGACACGACTGATGTGACTTAGCAGCAGCGGCAGCAGAGTTATGTACCGTGCAGTGAAAGGAAAGGTGGTGGGAGGGTCTGGTGGCAGTAAAGAGGGAGCAGACTGAGAGGAGGCTGGATGTGTAGATCAGAATCAGAATGGGAAAGAGTTGAGATTTGGTCTCACGGACAAGAGAAAATCACGTGAACTGAGAGCAGGGCAATAATACGATCCAGATATGCACAGTCAGAATTAGAGAGGGATTGGCAAGAGCTTAAACTAGCCTCTTCCCTTTACTGCAGATGCTACCTCTCACTTTCTCTGAACCTTGACATTTCTAGTACATAGCATTATTGATGCCAGACTTTTGGTAGTTGTCAGTAGTAGCTGTTTATCAGACCTGGAGTAAGTGCCTGAGTACTGCTTCTCTTTTGAAGGGCTCCTTTTGGTATATTACCTTCTCCTCACATGGGAGACCTGTTTACACATTATGAAGACATCTTTCTGCAGCCTCTCATTTGTCTAGCAGTGGCCATCCTTTACCTTTTCAACTAGTTTTGGAGGGGTTTTGTTTGCTTGTTTGTTCTGTTTTTTTTGGCCATGCTGCAAAAGATGCAGGATCTTGGTTCCCTGATGAGAGATTGAACTTGTACCCCTTACAGTAGAAGCTGGGAGTCCTAATGACTAGGCCTCCAGGGAATTCCCTAGACAGTTTTAATTTGATCAGAATGCTTTGCTACTTAAAGATGATTGCAGGATATTTTTAAAAATACTTAAAAAAATACTGTTAGAAATCAGTTCAAAACTGATGTATTAGCTGTACTATATCAGACTTACACCTGATTTTTAAATGAACTGAAGTTTTAAATGAACTTAGATTTCTTCTTAAAGACCACCAGGAAAAGAAAAATTTTATGACATAAAAATGCCATTTGTTAAAAATAAAGGATATTTTTTAAAGTATTTGTTTTCATCTTTTGATGAAGAACTGTGTACCTTTTTTATTAAAGGGGGAAAAAGTATCTTTTTAAAAATATGTTGCAGAGATACAGTCCTAATGGGCATATAAACTATATGTTTAGTGTGCTGCATCTCTAAAGCTGCATTAAAAATTAGATAGTTTTAAAGTGGTTTTGCTCTTTCTTGTATTAGAAGGAAATAAATTTGACCTGCCATATATTATGGACTCTGGTATTTTGAGGGGATTTTGTTTTCATCATCTCTACTATATTCTCATGCCTAGAAATATAAAGAAATTAGAAATCACATATAAAATCTTACTGTTAAATTTTATTATTTGATTTGGCTCTCATTGAATCCAAACCATC